TCTAAGAAGAGAGAGAAAAAATAATTTTTAAAAAATCCCAAAGTACTAAATACCCGTCTTTGTAACCTGTTATCACCCGTTATAATTCAGGAAGCCCCGTTTGAAAATCAGAATAGCAACTTCTTACCCGATTCGTGTGAAAATCTTCCTCATCGGATCGTGTTGAAGCCAATCAGGTCTCTTTTGGTCGCCGGTCCCCTCTCTCTGAGTGTGATGAGGTATAGGGCAGAATCACGTTTTGGTGGATCCTGAAGGGGTCCCTTCCCGGACGTCCTCGGAGTCCCGACGGAGCTTCAAACGATCCCACTTCTGACACCAAATTGTGGTGGAAGATTTTGCACAGACAATCGTTAAGTAAGAATCGAAGGCTCTGAGTCAAGTATGTCTTTTCTCCGTTTATTTCCTTGCAAGGGAAAAAAGGGTCACAACAGCTACGTGGTCAGTAGACTGTCAAGAACCTCTTTTTTTTCCCAACACATCGAGGCAGTTCTTATACCTAAATTTAGATATCGGTGGCGTCAACAGAAACCGTTAACCATCTTGTTGAGTATCTACAGCCAGGGTACTGGGAACATCTTATCCATGTAAGACACGTCAGCTCTTTGACCGTATCCTTGCTCTCCCAACATGCTTAAACAAAGGTGGTCATAGACATAACAAACACTTTGTTCAATCTCTACAGCTATGACGCTGGAAACATCTAATCCAAGTGGGAGACATCAGTTCTTATGTCAGGGCCTTTGTGACCTAAGCACTAGCAACTAATAAACTGGTTATACAAATGAAGCATTTAAAAGGGTCACATATCATTTTCCCATTACATAAGCTAATGGGAAAAATAATCAGAATACATGTGTAGTATTTATATTTAAAAAAAGATGAAATAGCTGTAATTTTGTGATTCTGTTTAAGCCAGCAGGGAAGGCTTAGCTCGTACTGACGGCCCACCACTGATATGATCTTGTTTGAGGTTTTTAATTCACTGGCTCTGTGTTTCAATTTGTACAGTGCGGGTAACTCAATATACACTGATAAGGCCCTGGAACTGGGTCGGAACAAAACCTGAACCTTTTCTGGTGAAGGGTCTGACCTGACAGTGCCCCCAGGTCAAAAGGTCACACTTCTCCACCAGCCGGTTATTTTTCAGACAATTTTTGTTTCATTGACATTCATTGTGTGATTACTTTTTGAGATAAGATGTACAGGGACATGGACAATAAACATGGGGTTAAATACATATCATTTGGTTTTACTAACATTGAAAATTAAGTTGTTGCTGTCACACTAGACCTTGACAATGACTCATGAAACCTTTTTATAGATGTTAAAGTCATTTTTGGCTGATGGGCATGTCACTCAGACACTTTCGTAGAGGATTAGGAAAATAGGACAACATGCACCTAAAATTTTCTGGTGAGCAATTTTAAGCATGGACAGGAAAAACACTTTTTCTAAAAATTGACTTGTACCTGCAAGGACAGTTTAAACTAGAGGTAAAAGATCAAACAGAAATGTGGTCAAAATACATCTTCCTGGGGCCTTCCTGGAATTAGAATTAAAGAACAGTTGAACCATTTCATGATCATATATGCCTCAATTACACATTGTAATAGTTACCTAATGCAGGTAAAAGAGATATTTTGCAAACACAAAAGGTGTGGGAGGAGAGTAGTCTGAATTGGGTTCTGGAGCTGTGCCCCACCTCATACATCGCACTCATACGCCAGCCGCAAGCGGTTCCAAGCCAGAGAGCCACATCCACTGAATGGCGCTGACCAACAGCACCATGCAGCTTCTCCTGTGACAGCTGCTCTCACAGGGCCATATTTTCTGTTCACTTGCTCACCTGTATCAGGTGACACCCTGCAAGGGTAACTATTGGCTCTTGTCTCAGACCTTCCCCGAGGTGATTGGTGGAGTGACGAGCACTCAGCTTGTGACCTCTACAATGAGCTTCCACCCACAGAAACATGATGGTAAATCACATCGTATAAATTATCCTCCAGACTCACAAGTCACCTTGGTTACGGTGCAAGAATACGGAAGCTTTGAGTATGACAAAGACCGTGGTTGCAATAATCACCAACTTGATATCGTACGGTTGCTTCTCTTGTTTCGGTGGTAATTTGTGTTTAACATAGTGCTTGGTGAACAGTGACATGGACTCCCATTGCATGCTGGGAAACAAAGCTCTCTTCATTGGTGTATTTCTGTTTTTCAATTACAGAAATGCACATTGGAAAAGAACTGAACGAGGGTAAATCACACAGGTGTAGAAGATGCTTTAGTGAGCCATAATCAATTCGTCTTGCATAAAATATGCAATCCAATATTTTCTTTCAGATACTAGACAGATAGTGTGGGATGTTTCCTCACAGTATTGTTACGCCACCAAACCTGGTGAATGATTGTCTCCATCTGCTGTGGCCCATGGACTTCCTTTACATTGCGTAACATAGTGGAAGAAACAGCGAGTGTGTGAGACTGAAAAAAAGGTGTTCTACCTCAATTTGATTAAACTATTTCATGGTACCACCTTCACACAGACCATTTATCATCATCTGAATTCACTGTCAAATTCCATTTTCCATGGTACCTAAAATATATTATTTTAATAATGCAAAATCTTTACCTTCGCCCATGTGCCTTCTTTAATCCTCTGTGCTTGTTTAATGTTATGTGAGAATGGTCATTTCTGTAATGACAAAAGGTGTGGGAGGAGAGTAGTCTGAATTGGGTTCTGGAGCAATGCCCCACCTCATACATCGCACTCATACGCCAGCCGCAAGCGGTTCCAAGCCAGAGAGCCACATCCACTGAATGGCGCTGACCAACAGCACCATGCAGCTTCTCCTGTGACAGCTGCTCTCACAGGGCCATATTTTCTGTTCACTTGCTCACCTGTATCAGGTGACACCCTGCAAGGGTAACTATTGGCTCTTGTCTCAGACCTTCCCCGAGGTGATTGGTGGAGTGACGAGCACTCAGCTTGTGACCTCTACAATGAGCTTCCACCCACAGAAACATGATGGTAAATCACATCGTATAAATTATCCTCCAGACTCACAAGTCACCTTGGTTACGGTGCAAGAATACGGAAGCTTTGAGTATGACAAAGACCGTGGTTGCAATAATCACCAACTTGATATCGTACGGTTGCTTTTCTTGTTTCGGTGGTAATTCGTGTTTAACGTAGTGCTTGGTGAACAGTGACATGGACTCCCATTGCATGCTGGGAAACAAAGCTCTCTTCGTTGGTGTATTTCTGTCTTTCAATTACAGAAATGCACATTGGAAAAGAACTGAACGAGGGTAAATCATACAGGTGTAGAAGATGCTTTAGTGAGCCATAATCAATTCGTCTTGCATAAAATATGCAATCCAATATTTTCTTTCAGAAACTAGACAGATAGTGTGGGATGTTTCCTCACAGTATTGTTACGCCACCAAACCTGGTGAATGATTGTCTCCATCTGCTGTGGCCCATGGACTTCCTTTGCATTGCATAACAGAGTGGAAGAAACAGCGATTGTGTGAGACTGAAAAAAAGGTGTTCTACCTCAATTTGATTAAACCATTTCATGGTACCACCTTCACACAGACCATTTATCATCTGAATTCCATGATTAATTCCATTTTCAAAACCAGGATCAGAACAAGAAGAAGTACAATTGGTAGGTAAAATGTCCTTATTTTAATAATGGAAAATACCCCTCTTTACCTTAGTCCATGTGCCTGGAATGTAACTTAGAATAAATTGGTTGCCGATGCTTGTTTAATGTTATCTAAGAATGGTACACTTGGTAATGGGTATGAGACACAACCTAATGCAGGCAAAAGAGATATTTTGCAAACACAAAATGTGTGGGAGGAGAGTAGTCTGAATTGGGTTCTGGAGCTGTGCCCCACCTCATACATCGCACTCATACGCCAGCCGCAAGCGATTCCAAGCCAGAGAGCCACATCCACTGAATGGCGCTGACCAACAGCACCATGCAGCTTCTCCTGTGACAGCTGCTCTCACAGGGCCATATTTTCTGTTCACTTGCTCACCTGTATCAGGTGACACCCTGCAAGGGTAACTATTGGCTCTTGTCTCAGACCTTCCCCGAGGTGATTGGTGGAGTGACGAGCACTCAGCTTGTGACCTCTACAATGAGCTTCCACCCACAGAAACATGATGGTAAATCACATCGTATAAATTATCCTCCAGACTCACAAGTCACCTTGGTTACGGTGCAAGAATACGGAAGCTTTGAGTATGACAAAGACCGTGGTTGCAATAATCACCAACTTGATATCGTATGGTTGCTTTTCTTGTTTCGGTGGTAATTTGTGTTTAACGTAGTGCTTGGTGAACAGTGACATGGACTCCCATTGCATGCTGGGAAACAAAGCTCTCTTCGTTGGTGTATTTCTGTCTTTCAATTACAGAAATGCACATTGGAAAAGAACTGAACGAGGGTAAATCATACAGGTGTAGAAGATGCTTTAGTGAGCCATAATCAATTCGTCTTGCATAAAATATGCAATCCAATATTTTCTTTCAGAAACTAGACAGATAGTGTGGGATGTTTCCTCACAGTATTGTTACGCCACCAAACCTGGTGAATGATTGTCTCCATCTGCTGTGGCCCATGGACTTCCTTTACATTGCGTAACAGAATGGAAGAAACAGCGAGTGTGTGAGACTGAAAAAAAGGTGTTCTACCTCAATTTGATTAAACCATTTCATGGTACCACCTTCTTAGAGACCATTTATCATCATCTGAATTAACTGTCAAATTCCATTTTCCATACAATTGGTACCTAAAATATATTATTTTAATAATGCAAAATCTTTACCTTCGCCCATGTGCCTTCTTTAATCCTCTGTGCTTGTTTAATGTTATGTGAGAATGGTAATTTCTGTAATGACAAAAGGTGTGGGAGGAGAGTAGTCTGAATTGGGTTCTGGAGCTGTGCCCCACCTCATACATCGCACTCATACGCCAGCCGCAAGCGATTCCAAGCCGGAGAGCGCCACATCCACTGAATGGCGCTGACAAACTGCGCCACACAGCTTCTCCTGCGACAGCTGCTCTCACAGACCCATGTTTTCTGTTCACTCGCTCACCCGAATCAGGTGACACCCTGCAAGGGTAACTATTGGCTCTTGTCTCAGACCTTCCCCGAGGTGATTGGTGGAGTGACGAGCACTCAGCATGTGACCTCTACAATGAGCTTCCGCCCACAGAGACAGTATGGCGGATCACGGCGTATAAATACTCCTCGAGAAGGTGAAGTCTCCTTGGTTACGGTGTAAAAATACGGAAGTAAGAGAACGACAAAGACCGTGGTTGCAAAGCACTAAAACTTGATATCGTCCGGTTGCTTTTCTTGTTTCGATGGTTATATGTGTTTTACGTCAGTGACACGGACTCCCATTGCATGCTGGGAAATAAAGCTCTCTTCATTGGTGTATTTCTGCCCTACGCATAGTCGGCCTATTTAAAAAAAAACATACGTTCGGTTCATTTCTTGGACAATGAGTTGGGATTGTTTTAATATCAGGGTAATATGACAATTTAAATTAATTGAAAACAAAGCAGTAAATAAAGAACAAGTCAAATTGAAATAAATTACATGTAGATTGTATTCACAAGATTTACCTTTACAGTCAAACCACTTGCTAATACTCTACTCCAATTATCTTTTAAAACAGGGGGCTTCATCAATTTACTATGAGACTAACACCACCGTCCGATCAAGCAGTTTTTCTCCCACATGCCAACCGCTATGACTTCTTTTGACCACTAGATGGCAGCCAAACACTGTCTCACATTTAGTCCTCCAACCTTTGAGAGGGATGCGGTGTGCAGGGATCTTTTTACTTCATCCATTTCTACTCCACAGGCGGCTCTAAACCCAAGAGTGAAAGTCACAGGAGCCGCGATGTTTAATAACCCTGCCAGACCCCAAGGAGATGTCTTCCACTCGAAAATTAATCCTCAGCACGACAGATGTACAATGAACACAGTCATATGTCACAGCAGGCGAGAACAGACAATAGGTCCTCAGCCTACAGGTAAGTATTTATTGTCTTTTCTTATGAGGGAATTTATTAATTTTCCTTGCGGCAATCAAACGGCACCTTTGCGAACACATGCACACACCACCGCCCTGAGTGAACAACCTGCTTCCTCGGTGATGTAATTAGATACCAAGGGAAAGATAACCGCAACCTCAAAGTGTGTGCATGTTGTTGACAAAGGAGTTAGATATTAAATTCATTTAATTTTTCATGATAAAGTGAAGCATTTTAAGGACAGAATAGACAGTTTTCTTATTGTGTCTTACAGGATTATTCTCCCTCCACTGGCAAAGATATTTGTTTTGCTGCCAATTACCTGTCAACGAAAGTGACAGGCTCGTGTTTGATTATTCAAAAATGAATTGTCATCCAGGGCTCCACAAAAACAAAGGCAGCCTATTTCAGAGAGAGAGAGAGCTTTCTGGGGCCATTTTCTTTTTTTAGTGACCTTGGTACACCTCAAGAGGAAAATTAAATAGTTTGACCCAAATCACCATTGAAGACACATTCTTATAATAACCTCAGGAATCTGGAGACCACCGCTGCTCCTTCCACCTCTTCCCAGCTGTGTTCTTCCCTGTCCTAACTTTTATTTCGCTGCCTTTCTTTTTGTCTGTGTGTACCTTTCGCTTTTACTCGCACAGACCTGCAAGGCCCCCACAGGGCCTCAAAATCAATCTGACAGAGCTTAAAATAATCAACCTAGTTGAAGAAGGAGGGCTTACCAGTACCATGTACACTAGCTCACTCCCTCCTTCCACTGCTCCCTGTCTCCCTTCAGCGTGAGGAGTGCCGGCCATCTAAGGACTATAGGTTGCTTTGTGTTTCAGAATCAGAAATTAATTATATGTATTTATTTATTTAGTTTATAGACACTCCTTTCTTCAAATTTGTTGTCAAGGTGGTTACAACTCTTACTTAATTACACCATTAGTACTATTTGAAATCTCAAAGTACATGGAGAATTACTTAAGGGTACAAACAGGATGCCTTAAATCACAGCCATTAAATAAAAGGAGGCCAGCGAGGCACAAGCAAATAATCATCACTATTTTGAAAGCATTGGCATAATGCATACATCAAAAAGGTATTTCTATAGTTATATAGTTCATATCTTTTTTTGTATATCAACATTATGTCAAGCTATTTTTTAAATTAATAAATAGGTACTAAAGTGAATACTTAAACCGTATTTTGTCTCGTTCCCTTGCATGTACATATGTGTACTTACGTTTTATATTGATATCCTGAATAGTAAATAATTACAAATTAATAAACATGTATTTAAACACTGGATGTGTGAGTGAAAACTGCTTATTTACCGAAAACGTGTGTAATTAAAGGTTCTCGGTGCTGCGTAATTGGTGACCCCTGTCTCAGCGAGTGCTGACCACGAGACAGCTGAAGAAATATAATTGATCACAAAGGATAAGAATAGCATCTGGAAGCTGGCCTTTGGCCAATGCTGAAAACAACTTGTTTGGTTAATTAACAGCATTGTTCACAGTGGTTCATCCAGCTGAAACGTCAAACAATCTGTTACAACCTTTAACTAATGAGTTGTTCTGCCAGTTATATGCGAGAAAAGTCGGAAAACTGTAGCATGACTCAGGTCCGATCTAAAAGACACATTTACTGGAAAAACAATCCACAAAATTCAGAGCTCTTTCCTGCTTGTTGTTTTTCCTTTGCATCTGATAAAAGACTGCCGTTTATTTTTAAAGGAATGCAAATGTTTTCTAACCGAGTGTTGAAGTCAAGGAGACATTTCCCTCTTTACATCACAACTCAAACATAGGTGCACCAATTAAGACAAACCTTCCCATGCTACGTTGAGCATGAGGGAGAAATCCTTCTCCACTGCCGTATTGTCTTGATGTTGGACCATTGCAGACACGCACCTTGTCAGTGGATAAAATCAGCTGAAACCTTGGAGAGGCACAACGCACTTCATTTGTTCGTGCATGAATGTGAACAAGAATGTTTGGATATGAGAAATGCATCTGATTCACATTCATTTTTGTTCTTCATAGGTAACAATGAATAAATAAATTGCATTGTTTAGTCCTTATATTGGGAATAAATAATTAGTCTGCTATGGTTTTCTTTTATTTCTCTCATGATCTCTTGCTTGTTCTCTCTTCCTTCCTTCACTTTAGCTGTCAGCCGAGTAGTGAAGTAATTACAACCTGCCTCTGACCCAAACTGGCCTGAAGCCCAACACGGAGGACCTGTGGAGGGCCACCAAAAGAGAAGAAGAAGCAGAAAAAGGACATGATATGACACAGACTGATAATGACAAATAGAGGGAAAGGACAAAGAAGAGATAGCAAAAGGGGAATAAAAAATATAGAAGAGCGTGACTGAGTCTGCAATGGTGGTTAATGACAGAAGGAGGTAGATGAGGGCAGGCAAACTAGGGGGGCGAGCAGGATGGCAGAGGGAGAAGGGAGGGAAAGCTTCCGACAAAAGGAAGTGGGAGACAGTCCAGTAAACACATGGTGGGTGAGTACATTTGCGTGTGTGTGTGTGTGTGTGCTCGTGAATCCCTGAACATGTTGGAGCAACAACAACCACATGGTAAGGGACTGCAAGTCAATGGTCACAGCAGTAATTGCATTATATTCCTCAATGCTAAACTTGAAAATCACATTCAAATTCAAACAAAGCCTCCAAGAGGAAACGCCCATGTAAATCTACGTATAACCATAAACCGTATGCATGCACAACAATCAGAAGCATTTGAATAAGAGCACTGAGCGCAGATGCAGATACGCTCAGCGTGCTTGAGTCAGGGGGATCATTATTAAAACCGCATCAATTGTGTTTCGACCTCTATTCAAGCCGGCGAGGATTCCAATCTCTTGATAGGTTTTCTAAACTGAGAAATTGGCACACGCTAACGCCCAGGCGCACACACGTTCGCCGAGTTGACGACAAGTGTGACAAAAAGGGAGCGCAGAGGAAGCGGAGGAATGGAAATAATACCGTGTGAGTGGAGATAGAGAGAGAGAGCAAAAGGGGAAGCAGAATGTAAGTGAAGGAGAGCCAAGGCTCTGAGCCTTCCTTCTAGATGGCTGCCGGCCTTGAAGCCCGTCGACTTCGAATGGCACATTTGGCAGAGGGACGTTTACTCCTCAAAGCAACAAACCCCTTTTACTTTCATCCCAACAGCTGTGCTTTCTGCTCAGCAGGCCTCTCCTCTGCGTTTAGCTGTAGAGCACTGGCGCGTTCCAGCAGCGGAAGGGTCTCTCACAGAGAGCGAGTTATCTCGCTTTTGATTCACTAGCGGAGGTGAAGGTAAAGGGGTTATCTTCACAAAAGCGACTCACGAGGATGATTCAAAAGGAAACATAATGGTCATCTCACACCTCCGTGCCTGCCAGTTAGAAAATCGACACTGGTGCTGCCTCGCCCGTATGGTCCAACACCTGGATATTGAGAAGACATCCGTCAACTAATTGATGGCCGTGCACGCTGTTTGATCAGTCGAATACCAAAATGTATTATTTAAGCAGTGTCTTAAGTGTAGTTTAGGGTACTTTGGTTGCGCATATGCATTTCATGCTAATTTGTGCATTGAGACTTTGCTATTGTACTTTCGACCACACTCCATTAGACAGGATAGTATAGATGTATATCTTAAATAAAGTAAAATTAATGTGATGTTAATGTTGCTTAAACATGCAGTCTAATGGTGGGTAAACTTGCGTAACCACAAGAAATCACCGATGAGAGTTTATGCCCATATTTTTATGATTTCTAGCTTGCTTACACATATTACACAGACAGAAACACACACTTACAAAGATTTCTTTCAGCATATACAAAAGCTGCAGCAGACTCAAGGTCTCTTGTGAATGCCTGTGGTGTGTGTGTGCGTGTGTGTGTGTGTGTGTGTTGTGGATGGAAGGCTGCTAGAGCAGGAAATGGATATCAGTCGCCTCTGCATCAGAATCTCTCTGTGTCTTAAACACAGAGACTCCTCACACACACACACAGACTTCTCAAACACTCACACACACACACACACAACACAATCCACTAACAAGCATATGCACAGGCATGCAACCTCGCGTAGACACGTGGAAGCCCAGTAGTTATAGGTCCTGCGTCATTACAGTAGCCATCTGTCAGCATGCAGGCATAAAGTACACCGACTTGGCCGTGTTGATGCATTAATGATCACCCGCACGCACACACACACGTTGCATATCCACAAGCACTCACTCACCAATGAAACATTTCATCTCGGTGACCCTCTCAGCCCCGCACGCCCTGCTGGTAGCCTGGATTTCACATGCAGCATTGGTTTCATGTGGTAAGAGGAGAAAGGTTTGCTCTCATTTATTTGTCTCTTTTTCTGTGTGTATCTGGCAACGATTGATGTTTTTGTCCATCATTGTGCATCAAGTGAGATGAAATGATGAATGTTGAGGTATAATCCTATGGTTTAATCCCGACCACTCCCAATCCCCATGCTTTCCAGCCGGATGAACTTCTCTGACAGACATACAGACAGACAGTTTAGTTGCGCCAAATTTGGGCCTCCAGCAGCCTTTAATAAGGACCTCATATTATTCAAATATGCCCACCTGCTAGGCACAGACAGAGAGAGAGGGAAGGATAGCGTGCGTGTGTGTGTGTGTGTGTGTGTGTGTGTGTGTGTGTGTGTGTGTGTGTGTGTGTGTGTGTGTGTGTGTGTGTGTGTGAGAGAGAGAGAGAGAGGGAGAGATGAAAGATTATGTATTTCTCATTGGTGGGACACAGTGAGTGGGAGGGAGGGAGGGAGGGAAGGAGGGAGGGCGGCGGCCAGAAACAAGCAAACTAATTCTCACCGAAGAGCAGTCGTGCCAGAACAGGAGCCGCGGTCAAATCCCCTGTCTGACACTATCTGCTCACAAACGAAGGATCGTTATTATTGTCAGTCGATTCTTCCTCCTCGAGTCCAGTTTGGCTACCAGGTGGGACCAGAGTTTCCATTTTGGATAAGGGGGCTGCGAACAAACGCACCCACACTTCCCGAAGCCGCGACAACTCAAGGTAAGACAGGTTGTAAAACCTCTAAGCGTGATCCGTTCGTTTGGTCCTACAACTGGATTTAATCGCCGCTGAGAGCGCTGGACAACAACAACAACAAAACCCCAGATGAAAGATGTTTAAGAGCCGTGCTGCAGCTGGTGATGCGGGCTGCGCGACCAACGCGCGTAAAACCGCTGCAGCGGAGAGCTCATAACTCGCACGAGAGAAAGCTTAAGAAAAGTGCTCGTCCTGCCAACAACAAGTTTAACGTTGAACTATCTGTTATAGCCTATGCAGACAACGGACTTGTTGGATTCTGGAGTGCGTAAGTGTTTGCCTATTGAAAATATAGTACGCGTAAATGGAGCGATCGGGGCGTGAATTGCAACGTGCCAAAGTGCTCCGTTTTTTATTTTAACTGCAGTTTTTTTAAATATTGCTTTAAAATACCGGCTACCTTGTTGTAGTCAGAAGAGAATATATTCTCTGTTGGGAAAAGACACTCAATGTTGAGTGCAATGTTTTTGTAGTATTATTTGGAACCTCTCCTCATGACGTTTTACAATCAAACTAAGTGTTTTGTCCCATTGAGAAGTTTCCCTACAGAGTTTCTGTTTGTATTGTGATGGCTTCTTCGTGTGCTCTCCGATAAACAAAGAAGCGTTTAGCGTTGTCTTTTTCAGGTATATCCCCTTGATTATGCTTTTTACGGCTTTACTTTCTCCATATTGGGTCAGCATATTGAATTCAGTATTATTTTGATAGGTTTAACAAGGACATTTGAAATAACTGATGAGCTCCAATGTTGAGAGAGAGGGAGTTATTAATATACAAAAGTGATGAAGTGTCTGTCAAAGCCACAACAACGATGAAATCATATTGATTTAATCTTTGCCTACTGGCTTCATTAACTTGCTTTAAACAATAGTGTGCAATTTAATAAACAAGGAGAGCAACAGTTAGAAAAGACACAGAAAGTCGACCTAGTTTACTACTGCAGCCCAGAGCGAAACTAAAGGAGGTTGCTGAAGGCAAACAAAGTGTCTGACCAAAAGAGGCTATAGGGATGACCAAAAGGGGGGAAGAGAGAAATTGAGGTTAAGAAAATACAGATGGGGAGGAGAAGCTTGCTCTGATTTTACATCAGACACAACAGGGCGCGAAGAACCTTCTATCAGACCACATTTCTCTCATAGTTCACACCTGGCTGCTGAGCTGTCAGCCTCACATGCAATATATCACATGATGGTTTCACCGGAATTAGTCTGCGTGTTACCTGCACAGTCTGCTTCTCATAAACACCCACATATCATCTATCTGTCTACCATCCATCCATATCTATCTATCCATCCATCCATCTATATATATATATATATATATATATATATATATATATATATATATATATATATATATATATATATATATATATATATATATATATATATATATATATATATATATATGTGTATATATATGTGTGTGTCTATGTGTCTCTCTCCCCTTCTTTTATGGAGTCTGTGTCTCTCGAGTATATATATAGGGATTTTTATATTTTGTGTGTGAGATATAGAGATAAACACAGCTAAATAAATAATCCCACTTTTTGAAATTCATTAATGGCGATTAAAGAATGTTATTGTTACAATTTTCTTTATAATAAGTGTTTTTTCTTCCAGAGATTAAATCTTAAAAGTAGTGAGTAATCACTTTAGAACATGTGTATTTTAGACACTGTTGTTTAAGTGTGCATGTTATTTTAATCACAAAACTACACACATTTGATTATTTTAGAGGCAGAATTCCACCTGGTGGAACATGTTGAACTAGCGACTCTTCCTGCTGCTCTCGTGCACTTTGCTCTCAATTCTCCGTCATTCAACGGCTGTGTTTGAAGTGCCAACAATCTCCCCACATTTAGCCAGGACATTTCCAAACTACTGTCTTTTAGGGACACAGTGGTGGTCTTCTGCAGACTGTGTGCCCCGCAGTGTAACGTTAGATGTTGAGATGGAAGTAGCATAGCAGCAAGCTTAGCCTAGCAGCTATCATAGCAGTGCTTTAAGTGGTCCGTTTGCCACTCACCCCCCTTCTGTTTGACACGTGGAGTAATTCCTCTGCACAGTTCTCTGCTGTTTGTCGCACCACCGTTTGTTTTGCTTCCATCGTGATGTAACTGACTGCAGCAAGCGGCCGTTTCGTTTCCGTGGTCAACTTCCGGTTTACTTCCCGAAAGTAAACAAACATACGCTAAACTACGTTAAAATATTTTGCATTAATCTCGGCCACATTAATTGCATAGATTAACGCGTTTTTGTTGACAGCCCTAGTTTGAACTCATCTCATTTTGAGAGCTTGGGAAAAGGCTGCAACCAAAAGGACAAAAGACTTTTTAAATGATTTGTGTACCGTTCACTGCAAACATTAAATACAAAAATCCACTATATGTGGAGATCTCTGAACAAACCAGATAACCGCAAGCCAACACAACATGCAAAGCTAACACATTCGGCTTTAGGAAGGTAATCGTGTGTGTGCACATGTACGCCATGTTTTGCAAATCGAAAAGGCAACTCAGGTTACACAGTAACAATCATACACAAAGTAAAGCCTTTTTAAAGTCTGGGCTTCCTTTTTGGAGATTGTCAGCTTAATGACCAATGATGTGCACTCAGTCAGAAACATTTGGAGAATGAATTATATAAGAAAATGAATTTGAGATGT